TTTTATTGTATAAATAGGACCACTTCGTCTGCTAAAAGGAGGGGTTTATTAAATGAAGAAACTGAGTCTTCTAAAATGTCTGGCCAAATTCTTAGTATTTTGTATGAATTGAGTTCTGAGCCTATTACCTGATATCAACACAAAATAGTAGGTTGTTTTGGAATTCTGGCTTTTTGCTTTTCGTACACACTTCCCTTTATCAGTTTGTATCAGAGAGCTGCATCGCTCATTCGACCAAGTCGCTAAGAAGATGCCATATGCATGAAAGTACCACTAGAGTGCTGAATATGTTAACCACAGAAATATTTTACATTTTCTTTTTCAGGCCTACGTAATCATTTTGACAATTTTTCTGATATTATAGTTTTTTGCATAATTAATCTCTTTGTTGATTTTCATCTGGTTATATATGTAGCCATGGATGCCCAGAGCATATGATCCATGCACTGAGCGCTACTCTGAAATTTACTTTAATATCCCTGAAGTTCAAATGGCATTCCATTCCAATGTGACTGGGATTCCCTATCCATGGAAAACATGCAGGTAAGTTACTTCAAAACTTCTTCTATACTTTATTGTGCAAGGTGTGAGTAATTTTTATATTGAAGTTTATTCATTGTGCAGTGATGTTGTTAGTAAGTACTGGGGCGATTCTCCATTGTCCATGCTTCCAATTTATCAAGAACTCATAGCTGCTGGTCTCAGGATTTGGGTATTTAGGTATGAGACCCTAGTCTATTCTCCTTTACTTAAATCCTTTAGCTGATCTTTTTAGAGAACTTTGAAAATCACGTTTCAAAAGTCATGTTTAACTTAAATTTTCTTTATCCCTTCTCCTTAGGTGATGGTGTGCAAGTTGCTTTCTCAAATTTGCATATGTTTTGTATTGCAATTGACCTTTAACTTTTAATATTGTACTATGATGATGTCCATTGGCAGATCTCTTTGAAGTCTAAGGTTTATAAGTTAGGTTGAATTCTGACAATATTTATAGATCAATGTATTTTAGTGTGAGAGTTCCATATGATTATTAGTGGACTTCATAGTTTGTGATAGTGAATATTGAGGTTACTGAAGGAGTAAATGTCCACAAAATAAACATAAAAAAAATGTTAGAATAGATGCGTGACTATAAATTAAATTTGAGGCTGTACACTGACAAGTTAATCATAAAAACATAGAGAGAAAACTCCACAGAAAACCTCAATTATGGTAAAGCTCCTATTAAGTATCAAAGTAGAAAATATGAAACTTCAGCTTCATTGTGAAGTGGGGAACTTTTCAACTAGTACTGTTTAGAAAATGTTTATAATGTTATCCAAATATGCTGAGTTGTGTTGATGAGTTCCTTTTTTGTTTGCATTGTTATACCATGGTATGGTGAGGTCTTTATAATTGGACAGTTCTGTACAGTATAAAAAAGGAAAAGAAATTAAAATCTTGTTCATGTACTCTTTAGTACTGTTCACTCCTATGTAACAAAAGAGTTGAGATATGTTGTCTCCATTTGGCTGTCCAACCACTCAATTTGTGACTGTAACACATCTTGTGTGGCATGAAATTGGTTTCTTTCAGTGGGGATACCGATGCAGTGGTTCCGCTTACGGCAACTCGATATTCAATTGATGCTTTGAAGCTTCCAACTGTTGTCAACTGGTACCCATGGTATGACAATAAGAAGGTCAGTGTTGAGAAAGATCGATAATCTCATGTTTTAGTGATATTTTAGTCTCTCTGCGAAGTCCTATTGTTGCATTCCTCTACAAACTTTGATTCTGTGCATTTTTCACCATTGAATAAATGGTACTTTTATTAGGGATGGCAGAAAAATCCGACAAACCCGATACCCGCAGGGGCACCGCCCCGAACGGGGAGGGGACGGGACGGGGAATTTTGCCCCGGGGCGGGTTTGGGGCGAGGACGGGTAACGGGGTCACCGCCCCGCCCCGTTTAAAAAAAAAAATTTTTTTTTTTTAGAATTCAATACTTTAGATGAAATTTTTTATTAGTTCTAATAGAAAATAGCAACTAAAATTATTTGTCCAAATCTAATGAATATGGACAATAAAAATAAGTTATCAAAAACTTAAAAAAAAAAAATATTTAAATGGGGGAATAAACGGAGAATGGNGCCTCGCCCCGTTGCCATCCCTAACTTTTATCGTGAATACTATTACCTGTTATAACATTCCATACCAAAAATATAATCTTTGCAAAGCCTTCCTTTTATTTTGTTTGTCGTTGTTGAACCACATGATTCAAAAGCCCTAGCTTTTATAAAGGGGACACATGTATTTATCTAAATTTAATCTTCAGCATTTCCTCTCACTCCCTGCCAAATTTCTTATTTTGTCAAAGGTTTGATACCTGTAAAAATTTTATAAATAGATGGTGGTGAAACTTGATATGCTTTGATACCATGTTCAACCACATCATGTAAGAACCTAAGCATTTGAAGAAGAGACGCATATAAATTCTATCTTCAACACTCTTTCACAAATTCGTAAGTCGGTGGCGAGACCCTTTTGTGACTGTCTAATCTGATAGCCCGTTGAACCTGTTTACTATGATGACACGTTGACTTGTCTACTCTAATAGCACGTTTAATTACATCATCTAAAAGTTTAGATTTTGGAGAGGAGACATGTATATTTTTTATTTATTTATATTTAGTCTTTTAAGAGTTATACATTATGCGACACTGACACTGTCGTCTTTCCTATGCTTCTTCAATTTCACATGCATCACAAGCCTCAATTCGTTGTCATTTTGTCCCATCGCTTCTCTTTTTCTTCAGTTATTCTATATTATTATTGTATCTTCATTCACTCTTACTTTCTCCCTTCTGCTGTTTCACTACATAGGTTGGTGGATGGAGCCAAGTATATGAAGGATTAACTTTAGTAACCGTGACTGGAGCAGGGCACGAGGTGCCACTTCATCGCCCTCGACTAGCTTTCATTCTTTTCAGATCATTTTTAGAGAACAAGCCTATGCCAAGCTGAATCTTCTCTTCATATATATACGTCCAGCAAAATGATGTTTGGTAAAAATTATATGCAGAATATAGCAGGAAGATCATACACATTATATAATTGCTGTTTGTCATCTTTAACATTTGAAACCTATTCATCGAATGTTCTGTAAGTTGAATTCCAAAACAATTGCATATAGCTTATCATATGCAGGTCTTGTAACAGAGTTCTATTTGATTGCTGATGTTTGATGAGTTCTTTCTACACCAAACGGGGCGGTCGACTTGCAAGGAGGTCGAACAACCTTCATCGAGATCAACCTGCCCCGCTCCCTTTTCCGGATATCAGACTCCGTCACAATGTTTGTCTTTTCACAAAATTTATCATCGACCAGTTGCAATCGAATGATTGTAGATATATTTGATGAAGATTTTCACAATTTTTACAGTACAACTATAATGAATAATTGAGGACGAATTTGCTCTTTATTGAAGAAACAACTCGCTACCCAACAATAAGTTGAAGACCAGTGATGCAATTTACCTTATCAAATTTACAGAAATTTTCACCATGGCCAAATAAATAAATAAATAAAATCACCTAAGAGTTGTATTTGATTGACTTTATCTTTTACGAAAAATATCATTTTTCCATCCAAATTTTTACTTTTGGTGTGTGTGACAATTTTTCCACGGAAAACATTTTTTAATTAAGGAGGGGTGATTTTTATTTTCGAGGTAATTTACTTTCTCTTTCTCTCTTTCATCGATCTCATCTTTTTCATCTGCCCATCAATAAAAAAGGACAAGTATAATATTTTTTAAGTTGAAAACTAAATTAATCAAACACATTTAATTAATAATTTTCATATAAATAAGTTCTAAACAATTGAATCGTCAAAAAATTATTTTCTTTCCATGCAAATTTCATACTCGCAATCAAACGTACTCTTAGTTCATTGCAAATTTAATAGGAAAAAATTTGTCATCGTAACTACACTTTGCAACTTTTGCTTATCTTGTTCAATTGAGCATTACAGGTCTAGATGTCGTTTAAGTGACATCCATTCATGTATTTCCAGGTGAGAACTTTCAGATTTCGTCTAGATTTTTTTTCTCCTTAAATCAAACTCCACCACAAAAACCTTTGATATATCCACTAAATCATCCACATCAGCATCCCATGGATTAAGAAAGAACACGTGGCCCAATAACATAATCGAATCCATAACTCTTAGCCAATAAAAATCAACATTCAGATTCTGCAATATCCCTGCTTTGCATCTACTATTATAACTTCAACTAGTCCTTGTTACACATTTCATTCTTGCCCACTCCTTCTCATTCAGATTCAACTTTTCTAAGAGTTCCGAGAATGGCAGCCAATGCACTCATGAGCTGCGGGGTCGCAGCCGTTTGCCCCTCCGTCCTCTCGTCTTCCAAGTCGAAATTTGCGGCCTCTGTGCCCGTGGCTGGTGGAGCCACCAATACTACTGCTCGGTTCACCATGTCGGCTGACTGGATGCCCGGTGAACCGCGACCACCCTACCTTGATGGCTCAGCACCTGGGTAATTATCCATCATCACTATGCTATTATGAACCTTGTAATCGAGTCACATACAATATTTAAGCTTTGCTAAAATCTAATGAATAAACTTATAATTGTTATCGTGGTTTGCAGAGACTTCGGATTCGACCCACTTCGTCTAGGTGAAGTCCCAGAAAACCTAGAGAGATACAAGGAGTCTGAACTCATTCATTGCAGATGGGCCATGCTTGCTGTGGTAATTAACAAATTACTTAAGCATCGATATATAACTGAAAATGAGTATAAAATATAATCTCGACCGCTCGGCGTACACAAAATAATCTGAAAATGATTTTGTGCAATGTTTTTGCAGCCTGGAATCCTAATTCCGGAGGCCTTGGGATTGGGCAACTGGGTTAAGGCACAAGAGTGGGCAGCAGTTCCGGGCGGGCAAGCTACTTATTTGGGTAACCCGGTTCCATGGGGCACTCTCCCAACAATTTTGGTCATTGAATTCTTGGCAATTGCATTCGTTGAACACCAAAGGAGTATGGAAAAAGACCCGGAAAAGAAGAAGTACCCGGGTGGAGCTTTTGACCCATTGGGCTACTCCAAGGACCCAGCAAAATTGCATGAGCTCAAAGTCAAGGAAATTAAAAATGGTAAGACTACATACCCTTTTTCTTTGTGACACAGATGTTTAAGATCCGTTACTGGCGATAAACAGTATTAAGGAAGAAAATTTTTTAACAAAAGTTAGTACTGCAATCCAAACATGTCTTTAATGTCATTCCGATTTTGATTGCTACGTAATTAAACGCTGGTATCACTTGAATCATCGAGTACTAAACTTACTATAATCTTGGTGTGTAGGTCGTCTTGCATTGTTGGCTTTTGTGGGATTCTGCGTTCAACAATCAGCATACCCTGGTACAGGACCATTGGAAAATTTGGCAACACACTTGGCTGATCCGTGGCACAACAACATTGGAGATGTCATTATTCCTAAAGGCATTTTCCCTAATTAATGATACATATTGTACAATTATCTGTAAGGTTAATATTTAATGAATTGGACATGGACCTTTTTTGCGTATAATCTTCATCTTCGTGTTGTTCAATATTACATATTACGTCTATGATACATATTGAAGAGACTATAGTTTGAGCGGATTTCATCCGCGATGTGAATGGTTTTATTAGAAGCCAAGAACAACCATCATTAGATAGTTTTTCTTTCCTTTTAGTTTTTTTATTAAAGAGCCATTGCATTGGTTAATCGTATTCTTAACGAGCAAATAAGCAAGAAATATGTAAATAGATTATTTAAAATAAAATAGGGAAAGACATGTTGGCAATGATGGGTTTGATTGGCGCTACTGATGGAAAGGCTTTCAATAAGTATTCTTGCATAATTCAATCCAACTCTATTTAAGCAAGATTTTAATCATTGAAAGAACATGGTTATTTCATCTAAATTTCTTCTCTCCGCTAGAAAACACGATGTTCGTTACGAAACTCGAATCCAATGCAATTCTGCGTATGTACAGATCGTGAACAAGTAATATAATAATGATGGATGTTGTACCTATGATGATTGATGTATTTATACTTGAACAACTTTAAGTTACTCAATTGAATTGTCGTGAACACGCGCAAATTAGTTTGATTGTTTAATTTAGCCACTTAAAATGAAAATGCAAATGATAAAGTCCGAAGCACGTAAAAATGATTCATGGAGAAACTTATTTTATCAAATTGTTGAGATTCGTGATTTCACTTAATCATCACTCAACTAATCTCGCAATAAGCAATTTAGCGTAGTATTGATTTTTTTTTTTTATGATAGACCCAAATGTCATGTTTAATCCCGCCATTTATCTCAAGTGTCAAAATAGTCCTAATCAATTAGTCTATCCTACTATATTTCCATGTTAATTAAAATACAATCAATTACATTAACCTTTTTTTCTAGAATTACTAAAATCATTATAATGGCTCTGCCTTCTCAAATATCGATAATGTTGTCCATACTAACATATTAATCAACAATGGCTTCAAAAAATGAGTAGAACAACAAATCAATCGACCCTGCACTGAAAAAGTAGGGGATCGAGCCTGGACTTAAAATGGTAACTTGAGGATTAAAATGCAAATAAAAAACAAATTAAAGGATGACATTGGAATATAGTCTAAAGTTTGAGGGCTGAGAATGCAAACTTCCTTCTAAATAAACATCAACAGACAGGGTCCGGATCCGTTTCAAGACAAACCAGACCGATTGCCAGCTCCATAGCCTCTATTCAACGTTTCAACTCGCAAAGCCTCCAACATTTTAAATTCCTGCGTGATCGAAAAACCATCGTCAAGTTCTCCAAAGGAATCTTAGAATAGCAAAGCTTGTGTTAAAATCAACAATTTTTAAAGCAAAATAAAGATCCCATTTTTGTATTTAGAGGCTTTCCAATTGAATATTTGCGCCGGAAATAAACGTCCCTGAACTCGTATGTTCATTCTCTCCCAGACGGCTCCCAAAAAAAGTGTTTCTATATAAATACATTTTATGGGTTGTTTGTATTTCCTCGCGTTTTTGCTTTTGGTGTAACATTTAATTGAAGCTTTTTTTATTTTTATTTCATTTATTATTAATTTCTTCAAGAATCTTATTCAATTATCAATGTCTACGTTAAAGATATTCCTTTTCTTTGATATGGTAAATAGTCATTGGCAAGAAGACACTTTTATTTTTATTTTTTTGATAAATTATGTTTTTGAAGTGTGAAATGTATGTAATATATGCAGTTATTTGCAGATGTCTGGTGAATTGGTCGATGGTGGCGGAAGCTCCTTTGATGTTGAGTTGTCGGACATTCGGGCTAGATGCAAGGAGGTATATACACTTCTGTTGTTATTATTAATTAACAATGGTTTATCTAGAACTCATAAAATTAGATTATAATCAAAATAAGTAGGAACATTTATAGAAGATTGTGTTGCATTGTTGAACAATTTTATTCTCTTAATTGTTTGAATTTTGTTCTGTATGTTTTTTTGATCATCGTCTGGTTTTGGTGAACGGCTTGAATATAGTAACTGAAATGGATTGTAAAAGGTCCATCCTTATTGTATTTGCTATGAGTGAATTGATGAGCTTCTTGTGAGTAACTTATAATGACGTGAAATAAGTGAAACTTATGAGACACTGATATTTCCTGGCGGTTTTGAGAATACACAAGATATCTTTAGTCTTTTAAGAGGCAGAAAATAGAGAAGCTCTTTGCAAACTAAATGTTGTTCCAGAAGATAGATTATTCAATATTTTTCACTATTAATTACAACAATGAGCTATTCAACTGGTTTTTTAAATTCTAATGAGGTTGTTCTGTTACCAGATGTTTTAGTCATTTCAACATGTCGTAACTCTGAAATATTTGCTCGTATTGGACGATTTCTTTATGCTTATCAAAGGATGTCGAGATGCGAATCCATGAAAAACTTTACAGGAAATTTTAAAGAACTTTGTTGTTTCCATAAGTATTGTTCACAGCCTGCTAATAAAGTTATGGTGGCATAACTGTTTTCATTATGCCTATTTTATCTGTTGTAAAATATATCTCTGTATTGGTTATAATTATACTGATCAAAGATTCTCTAATATTCTTCTCTGATACAGCTGAAGAAGGAAAAGGAGATGTTGAAGGATTCCAAGTCCCAGAGCTTTGAATTCATCAGAGTAATGCAGTTTTCTTTCGGTTATATTCTGCTTGTGTAAAATGTGTATGGCTGAAGCACATATACGCCATTGTATTTCTTTTTCACTCGTGGCGTCTATAGGTATCGTGATAATTTAATGTGTTGATCGAAAACTTTCAATTGCCCTTGCCGGTCATTGAATAGAAATATAGTATTAAGTTTTTGAGGAAAACATTTAAAAGGAAAAAAAAGACAAATAAAATAAAATTGTAGTGTTCATATTTTTATAAAGCTAGGTTTTTTGTGACATAATATGGCTGATATTAGTAATTTTTACTGGTTTAATCCTTTATTTTGCACACTTTATTTTTTGCCTTAAGTTGTATGAACTTGCCATCTCTATGTTTCGGAAAACTGCCCTCTTTAAAATTTTAATGAATTCAATGTAAATGAATGGAAATAAGAATAAACTAATGTCAAACTATCTTTCATGCAGAGTTTAGAAATGCACGTTAAGACATTATCTAATGCCCATGCAGAAGACAAGAAACGCATCCAGGGACTGGAAAGGGAACTGAGTAATTGCTCCCAGGAAATTGGTGGGGAATTCGACTGCAATTAATTTTCCGCATTTAGTTGCTTATATTGTTAATCATTTTGTTTGATTTAAAGTCTGCTGCTTTCATAAATGCTGATTTGAATGGATCGATCCTCAATTACCATTCATACCCTTAGTGCACGTTTTGTATGCATGACTGGACTGGACAGTATCATTAACAAAATTTTAGATTCTTTTTCTTCTTAACACATGTCCATTCCTTTCCAATCTTCCCTACCAAACATGCCATTATCAATGTAACTTTTGTACTTTATAAAAAATATTGCATTTCAAACCAGCTGCAACATTTGGGTAATAGATTGCATTTCTTGTTACTTTTGGTTGTGAAAGGAGATTTTATGTTTTACGGGAAGATGATAGATAATTAGGGCAAAAAAAGAAGATTGAAAGAAAAGAAGGGGGGGGGGGGGGGGGGGGGNGGGGGGGGGGGGGGGGGGGGGGGGGTGATGGAAGAGATTACTGGATGGACAGAAATGGAAGAAGAAGAAAAAGTACTTAGTGGGCCAATGGGGAATATTGCAAGGGATGTGCTTTATAGGCCGCTTCGCTTGGCTTGTCACTTGGCCATTCTCAGCTAAATTAAAGCTCTGTTCAGGTGTTCACTTTTTGAGTGCCGATCAATATATACGCGCCCTACCAATTTCTATCTCCAAATCCCTCTCTAACTAAAGGTATTGCACTTTATAATTTGTTCCTTGTTTCCGATTCCTTCTTGCTTTTGTAGTTTTTCCTTGCTTGGTGAGGTGGCAAAGAAGCAACAAGGTTGCAGTGCATATGTTACCCACTGTATCACTGTAATGATTTCATTAATATTCGTCTCATTGGATAGTAGACCCAAGTTGAAGAAGCAGTCACATCATAGGGCCACAATTGCATTTCCTGCAGTTGAAATGACTTGATTCCGCACTGTACCTCTATTTGTATGCTCCTACTTATTTGGTCAAAAGTATATATTATGATATATTTTTCCAATCAGTGTGTCCCTAACATGTTTGTGTCCTCAGTGTTTGAAAATTTACATCTCAATGTCCTGAGTTTTTATCTGTACTTTACCTTCTGAGTTACTTGTCTTCTAAATGCTTGAGATAATTCTGACATGAAATGCCCTCTGCTGACTTTAGATCAATGTTCTTTAGGCTTACTAATTGTCAACATTCCTCACAGATTTCCTGCAGGATCAACTAAACACAAGAAATTCAGACGTAAACTGCCTAGGTGAGGAAATATGTTGCCTTCAATTGAAACTTGCAGACATGGAAATTCTAGAAGAGGAGGTGGAAAGGCTAAGAGAGCAGGTGAAAATAACCGAGTCCGAGAAGTCATTCCTATTGCATGAAATAGATGACAAAGCAGTTGAGCTAACAAATTCAACTTTGTGCATCGAGAAGCTAGAGGAGTCGATTTCCTCCATTGGATTAGAATATCAATGTGAAATAGAGAGCATGAAGCTTGATTCAGTGGCCTTGGAGCAGAATCTTTTTGAAACTACGAAAACACTGGAAGAAAGAACTCAAGAAAATTCTAGGATGAATGAATTGATTCAAGAGCACAAGCTTCGATTTCAGGAGGCGGAGAAGGTTATTGTGAGCTTGGACAAGGAAAATAAAGATCTAAAAGAAAAGCTTCAAACATCTGATGAGAATGCCAAATCATTTGTCGAGAAAGTGGAAGAGAAATTTCGTGAGTGGTTGGTGAATGATGATGTCCACCCCTCGAGTAATCAAGAGAAATATACACGGTATCCTAAAACCTTTATGTGTGTGTTTTTGCATGTACACTGCTGCTTTTCACTTGACTGAAAACTTGTTCTGAACGATCACCTGCATTTTGATTTGAGAGGCCGTGTTATGGGAAAAGAAAAGAAGCTTACACTATTCCTGTGCAATGTGCTAAAGGCAACCTGATTTGTGGAATCTAGTTGATTGTTGGCATACTGCATTATAGTCAAGTCCTTTTGATAATTAGCAAGTAGGATAAAAGGAGAATTACTTTCAATGCTTTCTGAGATTTAGCTTGATATGGGAGAGATTTTTGTAAGTTACACCGCATTTATCATGTTTTGTTTCGAATGACTGCAAACTCATGAGAATGTCATACATACATACATACATACATACATGTGTGTGTGTGTGTATTCATTTTGTTTCCAAGGGTATTTCTAAAAACGTCCATTTTTACGTGACTTCAATACCTTATTGATTCTTCTTGTTCAATATGTATATATTTTCTCCTCTATCAAGGATGCACTTGTCTGGAAATTGCTTGTTTACCTAATTATGACACCACCTAAATTTTTGTCAAGCACGTGTGGCAACATTCTGGGTCCACTCCTCGCTAAACTTGCTATTCCAGGAGCATCAGATGCAGATTTGAAGAACAAGATGGATGAAATGCCACGCCAGATAGCTGAATATGAATGTGTTGTAAAGCAACTCAAGGTAGTATATGATCATCCACAGGAACACACTTTCTGTAGATATCTATTTGTATTGATGCTGTCACTTTATAAACTAGTCAAATCCATGAACTAATAACGGCAGATAATCACGTTTGGTAAGGCTTAAAAGTAAATCAACTTACTTTTAAGGGAATTTTATTTTTTCAAAACTTTTTTCACCAGTAAAAAATAATAATTATTTAGCAATGTAGGGATAAGGGTGACTTCAAAAAAAGTACCTTGTTTTTCAACTTCAATCAACAAAACTTACTTATTTACTATAAGTAAACATTTTAAGCCTAGCCAAACATGTACATGGTATATTTCATGATATTGCAACTGTAGACAATTGAGTAGGCATGCCCTGAATGAGTGAATGTGGATGATTACTAGGAAGAACTGAGAATGGAAAGGTTAAAAGCAAAAGAAGAAGCTGAAGATTTAGCTCAGGAAATGGCTGAGTTAAGGTATCAAATGACAGGCATGCTTGAAGAAGAGCGCAAACGTCGTGCTTATGTTGAACACGTATCTTTACAGAGAATATCGGAGTTGGAGGCTCAGGTAGGAATTTGTTTATACAATACAACCTTTGCCATCCACCTAGGAAGAGAAATTTGCTAAATATAATTCATCTTTTGTGGTGAAGATTGCAAAAGAACAGCAGAAATCTTTCAACTCTCAAGAACTTGCAGTCAGGCATATTCATGAAGTGTAAACATGGTTTCTGAATTTCGTGAGCTTTTCATTGAGATTTGTCGTCAAGGTTTGTCACATTATATTTGTCATAAAGTATGCGTTTTATTTTCCTTCATAGCATTAACGACATTATCATGGTATGCTATAGTGATTGGAATGCATCAGATTTCTGCATAAAATTACTTTAGCATAACATTCTTTTACTCTCTAGCTAAGTTGGGCTTTTCCAGTTTGATATTAGGGGTTTAAAACACAAGTGGTAATTAAACTTCATGAAGTTCCAAGTTGGTTTCTGAATTGACTTAAACATTTGTTACAATTTGGTCATTTCATCTCATCTATGCCCCTTTTCGTGGTTAACATAAAACCTGACATGACAATTTTGTTTGCATCATAGTTGGTAAATAAATACACTGTCATGCGACAATTTTTTTTATTAGTCGAACTAATGAACATAGATGGAGTGACCAGACTGTAATAAAGTCAAAGTAAGTGAGAGACTAGAGTGATCAACACGAAATTCAGTTAATATTTTAGAGATGATTGACTTGTAAAACTACGTAAAAACAGTGTTTCTATTCCCATGTTGATGCCTATCTGAGCTCAATTATTAAATAGCCATTGGCATCTTGCGAACTCATTAGGACCATTTTCTGCATTTCTATTTTACTTTTCTGCCTATCTCAACACGCTTAATCAACTTTTGTTGCTGGTGCCATCATCTTGATTAAATTTCAACGCCTTATTAGGCATCTCTACTTACTTAATCAGACTTTTTGCCTACTCAAATGAAAACTTCGAAAATTTCTAGGATTATCTGAGCATTACAGTACTCCTATGTTTTTTTTTGGTTATACTAAGAGCATGGGAAGTGTTTATAAATGGATAAAAATGAGCGGTGGAAAAATGGATAATACTTGTGGGTTGTATGAAATGTTTGGATAAATTTTGGCTTCGACCAAAAGTATTTATACACTTCCCAAACATAGGCTAATTTATTTATGGTTCTGCGCAGAAAATTTCTATAGATGAAGTGTGTGAAGCTATGCCAAATGTTGTCCTGAAGGATTTTTTAGCAGATTTTCGTACTACATCATCACCTTATAGATTGCAAGAAACGTGATAAGCAAAATATAATTCTGAAGGATTTTTTGAAGATTTTCGTACTGCATCATCACCTTATAGATTGCAAGATAATCTTTTGGTGATTGGGCCATTTTTTTACCTTTTTTTAGATGGCCGTTTATTGAAATGTGTTGTCTTGATTTTTTTAGTAGCATTTTTGCTAAAATTTCTGTGTAGACTGAAATATTGTGCTGTACAGTTGTGTATTTTTATTGATGTTGAGAAGTATGGGTGCAGAATATTTGGCATTTTTTGCTTCATTTTCTAGAACAACATCATCATCAATTTGTTTGTTTGCTCTTTCGTGAAGTTTGATTAATTCAACATAGATTTCACGATTAGTAGAGCCAACGGATTCATCATGACCTGTGAAAGCACATACTTGCAATGCTAGTCACTTCTCACTTTCTACTGAAGTCTTTACGAGTAAATGATGCTTAACTTCTTTTGGAGTCTACTAATGTATCATTTTATCAATATGTTGAGATATATTTTTCAGGTTTTCCCTTTTTTCTTTTTATTTTACGTTGCAGACCAATTTAGTAAACCAGAATCCATTTTCTTGTCTTGTCAGTGGACTGTCTTTCAATTTTTAAACCCCTTGACTATGAATGTTTCATGTTATTACTTACAAATACATAACAAGGAAAATAAAATATACTCTCTCTCTTTCGAAAACTAGTCATTTTCAACCAGCAGAATTGAAATCGGCAATTTCGAGCCTCAAATCTGGTAGGAATCGTAGGATGATATAGGTTGATACGGTAACATTTTTGACATATGTTGATATTGTTATATTGGGATGTGCTTTCTTGGATCACGTCCAAAGTATGGACTTTTACTTTGAAATGGTTCGTCGGTGATAATAATCAATTTTTAGTAGATTTTAATAAATGTTAATGATGTGTGTTTGAAAAGTTGATAAAAAATTATGTATTTTATGGACTGTGTGGTTGATAATGAGTTTGTGAAAAAATAAATTTTAAAATAGGAAGGCTTTGAAATATTGACTATCACTTTGAATTGGTTCACCAGTTCATTTTAATCCATATGTAAGCCACATGTTGTAGCCAAATTTCATTCACAAATTCTCAGATTACAACTTATAGTTTACAAATGGTAAGTTACACTAAATTCAAAATTTACAAATTCGACCCCATAACTAATACTGTACAAATTTAAACTCCCATCACAGATCCTATTCACAAATAACAATGTGCACATTCAAATTCTCAATTCCCAAATTTCTATTTTACAAACTCAATTATTTTTCAACCGTGGTGTAAAATAGATTTAAAATGTGATTCAGATCTTTAAAGTGATCGAAAATCTCTCAAATTGGGGAAACGTAAATTATATTTCTCGACACAAAATGTAATTACATATATATAAATTTACATTCACAATATGCAAAAAGTGAATTTAGATCCACCGGTACGTAAATGAGAATGTGAAAGTGATTTTGAAAATATCAATTTACACTCAATTTTACACCATGATTAAAAATGCTCTCTTGTATTTCAAATATTGACAATGTACAAACCACGGGACTAAAATGAGATGCTTTTTATTTGTTAAAAAATTAATGATTTAAGAGTTGACGAAAAGCAATAATAACTGTTATTAATCCTTAAATTTGTCATCATCATATCTAATTCTTTAATCTTTAGCATGCTTGTAATGCCCATATTTAAAACTGGTTTTTATGTATTTAATATCAAAATATTGAAACAATAAAATATTGCTATATCGCATGGTTCTAATTCGTAAGCGAATGTCTCATTTGACAACTTTAACAGCGTTTTTATCTCAAATTTGATTAAACTTTTGCAATATTTAAGTCTTCGACGCTCTACAAGAAAAGTTTGTCTACAAGAAAAGCGTGTGAGAAATGTCACTATTTCAGTAGTATAATCAGGAAGAAATGCACTAAATTTTCAATTGCAAAGAAAAAAAAAAACTTTTTGAAAGGTATAGAAACGACATTTATGAAACAAACTAACGATTTCAAGACTCGAAGAAACAGTCCAAATTGGCATAATTGACTCAGCTCAAAGTCTTCCACCCCAACGCGCTTCTCTTTGATCCTTTCAAAATTCAAATTCTTTCTTTTTTCTTTTAAATAATGTATTCTGTATTTCAGAGAAAAAAGATGGACAAAGGGCCTTTCTAGATCAAGATAACCCATTTCTTGGACGTATCAAAAACTACTGGACAAAAAATACCGGGAAAAAATATGAATGTTAAGAGGTAAAAAATGCAGATTAGAATTTCAACTCTCAAGAGTGAATTTTCACGTTGACGAATGGTGAATAAAATAATATCTGCTGTACACAAATGTTGAGAACTTGACCATTCTTCGCAAGTTGCAATTTCTAACCAGTTTCTTGACGAAGATTTCATATTTATATATTCGTTCTTGTTTCACCACTTTAAAACCATCGCCAAAAGTTCTCTCCTTTCTTGTCTAGATTTTCTCGCTCTAGATTTGTTGGCGTTTTATCAGAAAGGGCGTTATCCTCGGCCCTCTTCCCAATCGAAGATAATCCTTTACATCTTTGTTTGAAATTTCAGGTATTTCCCACCAAGATTTCTTTCTTAATGGTTAAGAATATTCGAAATGCATTTGTATTCATGTGTATTTTTGCTAAATAATTTGTTTTCTTGTTGATTCTAAACTTGAGTGCCAGTTTAAAGTCTTCATTTGTCTTCTTGTAAAAAACACTTTCTTTGGATTTATATTTTTATTTGTTTCATAAAGATCCATATGAATTATCAATCCGAAGTCTTCATCTTGTAGTCTTCTGTAAACATATATTATGGGTTTTCCAACTTTTTTCTGGTTAAATTTGTTTTTTTTTTAAAGATTAATTTGATCACAATTCATTTTCTTTCCTTGTCAAAATTGATAGCTTTTCTACCATGTAGAATGTTTTAGGCAACCATTTTCCCCATTTCTTGATTATTTTATGGGTTTTTGACTGACTTGATATTTGAATATCTGTCTGGCTGCTCAAAGGTAATTGGATGAACTGAGGCCTCCTCTCTAATAGAGCGAATACAGAAATTATTAATAGGAAAAGAAAAGAGAAGCCTTTGGGTTATGAAATATGTAAAATCTAGAGTCAATGTTTGCTATTCTTCTGATTTTATTAGAAAGAAATATAAAATATAAATGTTGAATTTATCCATTATGTCCTGATCTTTCCTGCAGCCTTCTGATTATTTTTCTTTTTCCCATTTGAATGTTTTCTGTATCTTCTTTTGTCTGATTCCTTGAAGCCTGTTCTTTTCAACATCAAGAAAGAAAAGGGGAACTGGAACTTTTTCGATCTCTCTTTTCTCGTTTTTGCATAGGATTTCATTGTTCATCAGTGTGGTACCGTATACATTTGATTTTGATTCTCATTTAATTTATCTATCGTAATTTCGCTTGTACAATATTTGCTTTTCTTCTTTTGTTTATTTGTTAAATTCTTGGCATCTTTATGGTAACTGTTTAGCCTGTTTGTTTCTTATGGACACGATTATTATCGATATTAATTATGGTTTCATAGTTTAATCCTGTTAGTCTCTTCTTTGTGGCATCTTTTTGAAACTTAGGACGAGTTTATTTGTTGTTTAAATGTGCAGGTTATTAAGCTAAAGAAAGTCAAATTTCATCCTACATTCTTTTGTTGGTACAAAATGTTTGGTCATAAGAAATCTCCCTTACATAGGTTTTCTAAACACAAGTCAGCGGAGCAAGTCCCCAGTAATTTCAGTTCTAATCCTTTTGATGATGATTCTTTGGTTAACAACCAAACCCTTGAACCCTCTAGACGAACTTCCTCAGATCCTTCTCTAGTTACCCCAAATTCACGTATGAAGCTTTTTGATGACGATGAGATTAAGGGAACCTCGTCATATAAAAATTCCATTACTTCAGCAGAAAGAAACAGATACAGGAATGATTTTCATGATTCTGGAGGATTTGAGGCCCAGAGTGTACAGGAACTAGAAAATTATTCTGTATATAAGGCTGAAGAGACTACAAAGACTGTCAACAATTGCCTCAAGATTGCAGAGGATATAAGGGAAGATGCTACTAAAACTTTAGTTACCTTGCATCAGCAGGGGGAGCAAATTACGAGAACTCACATGGTTGCTGCTGACATGGACCATGATCTTAGTAGGGTATGCCTTCTCAACTTTGCGACTTGTATTTCGGTTTGGCACGAATAATTGAGCATGTTTGGCTGTGCTTAAAAAAAGTATAATCTTACTCTTAATACCAGATCGTGTTCAGATAAACTATGTTTTTCTTACTTGTAACTCAAAAAGTTATTTATATTGAAAGTACCCTGGACTTATTAATTTAGGTAGCTTACTGTTTTTTCAACTTTGACTAGAAACTTTTTTATTTAAATACTTGTATGTTTTATGCTTAGCTAAACAAGCTCTTGGAAGACATGATACCCAAGTCACATGCACAAGTTCCATCCTTTTCCCCTTTGCTGTAGCATTGTTTATAGGACTGTCAAGTTCGATTCCATTCACTAAAGCAGAAAGAAAGTGCCTAAATGAAAAATATGTTCAAATATTTTATTTTTTCAATCTTTTTCTTTTCCTCCGGTAAGAGTTCAGTGGGTGGTGATAATGATAACTCCAAGTTCATCCATGTTTTTAAGAGTTATGTAAAAGCTAATTTGTCGCAAGTTGCATTTCCATCGATCTAAACTGAACCGATGGATAAGTCAAAATGAAAACAATTTGGAGTTATTTTATTGGTTTGTACTTGACAGAATATTGATTGCATAAACAATTTCACCTCAGACTATGCATAAATGTTGTTGGCTATGCTGTATTGCACTTTCTGTAATTGATTTTATTGAGTCTAAAATTATTTATTAATTGATTTTAGGGCGAGAAGCTGTTGGGAAGTCTTGGGGGCATATTCTCAAAAACATGGAAGCCAAAGAAGGGTCGTCCAATAACAGGGCCTGTAATCACTCGAGGTAGTTGTCTTCTTCTTGGTCACAATATAATCAATAGAAGTTCAATTTTAAATGTGTAGAACAGTGACTTCTAGTGTCATGTTTGGTAGAAATTTGATAGTATTGAATTGTATTAAGGAAGAAAAAGAAGTTAAAATATTGTTTATTATATTTTCAAGTCATGTCTAATACTACGCAACAAACTATTATTTGACACGAGTTGTGGGTGAGTAGGTGGATTTTAATTTGACATTTCACTTTGACCTGTGGTCTAACACTTCAATGCTACCACAGATGATCCAGTGCATAGAAAGGGTAACCACTTGGAGCAGAGGGAAAGACTGGGATTAACTTCTGCCAGAAAGGAACGAACAACGCGAACACCACCTCCTGAACCTACGAATGCATTACAGAAAGTTGAGGTATGTCGTGATGGAGGATTATACCAAGAGTTGAGAATTGTAATTTTCAAGTATCTCTTTTGTATAATAATGTTGGAAGTTTTTTGCATGTTTCTCTTAGATGAAGTTTTTGTGTAAAAATGTTAGGACTAGCCTTCCATATAAGCCAAAAGATACAAAGGGGACATGGAGGAGCATTCTGTTTCGAAAGATAATCGGTACTATTCAAATACGTGATCTCCTTTGGTCTGGATAGCTTATCTGGTAGAGGGGAGAACAAAAATCCTCTGTATCACCCTACTTTTATGATAAAGAACGATCCCATCGTCCTGAACTATTCTTAACTAGGATCGTATAACCAAGTTTGTCTATGAAGAGCTGTCAAGTCTTCTTTCATTTCTCAACAGAGAAGTAATCCAAAGCACCTCAACTTATTAGACATGTAATGCTAGTTTGACTATTTGTGATGTAAGGCCCACTGTTCACATAGTGGCCATTCCATCTATTTCCTTGATCATTTTTGGTATACCAACTTACCATGGTGAACGCCATTCGTAATTATCCATCAATCGGGGTGATTGTTAGAATTCTCAGTCCTCGTCTAAGTAAAGTTTGGTCAGGGTCCACCCTCGCTAGTTACTACTGCCAACAGCTATGAGCCACTGTTGGCAACTCGCTACTGATCCTACCACCACCATCTTCCTCCTACTCGTCTCTCTATGTCACTCCTGACGGATCTTATTTATTTTATCTTCTATTTGTTGGCAACTTTGTCATAGCAGTAGGTACTTAGCCTGGGTAAAGTGGGGAGGGTATTGGTAGGTAAACTAACCAGCACAAGACTGTCAAATCTTATGACACGAATCCTTCAATTTGTTAGCAACTCTCACTAGATCCACACTACTATTACCCACCAGATCACCACTGCCAACTCAACTCCACTGCCCCTATCTTTCCTTTATCTTCAGCTTCTGATTTTTCCATTCCACCTTCGCAATCATGTCTATATCTGCCTTGTCAAAACATATATGCCTCCATCAATCTTCCTCACTCACTCCCTTCCGCATTTCCTGCACCCACCATCTCATTCTCTCCGTTCACATCTGTTCTTCTCCTTCACCTTCCACTTCGAATATATCTAGTATTTCAAATTGTTCTATGTTCATTCTTACGAATTGAGAATGACTTCAAAAACTCAGTCAACGAATTTCTGGTCAAGTTCTCTGTCTTCCATTATGAATTGATGGTAGAAAGGTGGAATGGCAGAGAAGTGGGTAGTCAGGGGTGAAGGTGTTGAGAACTGACTGGGATTTGGCAAAAGGAGTGTAGTTGGGTCCTATTCTTGGTAGAATTCTGTTTTGGGTGGCTAGGCCTTCCTATTCTGGGTAATTTTGCAAACCGGCTCCTAAATTTAGCAGGATTTTGAGGTTATCAGTGTTTTGTATCTTAAGTGGTTGTTTAAAATGCATAACTTGATTAACTTGTTAATACATCCCCCGTGCAAGCTCTATCGAAGCATTTAAACGCCTTTTTAATGTCAGAACGTTTGTGTTTGAATGCATGCATAGATAAGATAACTGATATATTATGCATATGGGAATTATGACAGGTCGAAAAGGTCAAACAAGATGACGCCCTCTCAGATTTAAGTAATATTTTGGGAGAGCTGAAGGATATGGCTATCGACATGGGTTCTGAAATTGAGAGGTGAGTTATACTACACCTCGTAATCTCCGGACTCTCTCGATCATGTAATGTCGAATTCTAAAATCCTAAGTATTTACACGATATGTCTTCTAACATTGTAGGCAGAACAAAGCGCTGGATCCACTTGAGAACGATGTGGAGGAGCTGGTTGTCCGAGTGAAAGGTGCTAATCAGCGTGGGCGTCGTTTGCTTGGAAAATAGATGGCCCAAGTTTTATAAATCTGCAGTTTGTCATTGGCTTAACGAGTCACTATTCTCTGCTGTGATTTTTTTCATAACTTCTTATATTCACTGTGTACGCATTGCTTACATGATACTAGAGTAAAAAGATGGTACTATAATTTTCGGAATATACTGGATTTATTGTATGGTTTCTTCTTTGAGTAGTGCAGTATCATCATCTTCAAGATCCAAACTTACTCTGGGGATATATATCACTTTTTTCTTACTTTGAGTAGAAAGAATTACTTATTTTGAAAACAATTGACCCGGTTTCCTCCACTGTGTACTAACACGAGGCCTCGCAACCAATTGAATAATGGGTGGCTCCGGCTCGGCCCCAGTGCCCACTAGACCTTCGCCACCTCCACTGGAACTGCCCGAGCGGCATTCTTTTCGTTTCAACTTTCAAGTCATGAAAAAACAGATTAATTTGTTTCCTCAATTCATCAACTGTACTGTCCCCCCACAAAAATTGCCTATGTTTTTCAAGTAAAAGCAAGTCTCATTAATGTTGTAAAAGATTTCCTCTTCGGTCTTCTCCTTCCAAGGAACTGAAATGTGTTGAATCTGCATTGCTCATCCAGAATTGCCAGGATGACCATATTGCTCTATGTAAATCACAGGGCCTTCGGTAGTTGGGTCATTGGACGTTAGCTCTATCATGCGACTATGATAACAACGAAATAAGTCATACTTTTAATGAACTTGATGTCAACTACATGAATTTTTTTTTGGCTCTGGGTTCAATTCTTTGCTACATTTACTAAAAGAATAAGACAATTAGATCTTCAAAAATCAAAATGGGTTCTACGCCCATTGGATGACGTCTCACGAATGATGTCTTTACTCTTCTATTGTGTTTCATGGATGAATGTCTTTTCTCTTCTAACATGTTCTGTTGAGATCACGCCACTCTTATGAATGGAAGCCCTCTTTTAAGTATGAAAAAATAATGCTCCAACCTAGTCGTCATTGTCTCAACTCATCTTCAATGGGTTCTACACCCATTGGATCCCGTTATTGTAATCCTAAATGCTTATCATAACAAAACGTGTTTCTCTAACAAGCAAATTTATCAAATGGAACCATTGATGTTCTTAATGCTGCTGGCATACACCCTTAATAGAAAGACATCTTTTTGCCTCTTTACTGGTACCAAAACACAGCCCCTCATTGATTGCTGCATTTATGGAGCTAAGTACATAGTTCATGGATCACTTGCTTGAATTTTAAATACCATTTACAACTTTCTATTTGCCATCCTCTTACTCCATTTCACACTGTCAAAAACACTCCTACACCGTCCTCTCCCTCTAACAAGCCCGCCCGCATGAAGCGCCCACCTCCAACCACCGGTCGCTGGATTTTGGTAGCCATTTTATTTTTCCTCATGGCAGCAGCAGCCCTTTCTTCCCCTCAAAGTCCACCACATTTTAGACCACAATATACAGGGCAACATCAACCACCACCACTTGTGCCGCCACCCTCACGGCCACCTTACGATCACAATGATGAGATTGACATGAGATTTGGCATCGAGAAACGACTAGTTCCAAGCGGGCCCAATCCGCTGCACAATTAACACCAGTGGCCATGAATTCAGTACATCTCAACACAGGCAATACATTTCCTAGTAGTACAAATATTTCTCTCTAGTTTTAACCAAATGGAGAAAAATAACTTAATTTTGTTCATTATTCTCCTCTCTTATGTGACCCTTCTATTTCATCATGAATTATGGGTGATTTGGATTACCCCATGGATAATATGTATACCTGGAATTTCAGTAAGTTCTGTATTTATTTCTCGTCTACTTTATTGAAATCTATCACATAGTATACACCCACACACACTGTGTGTCTGGACAGAATACTCAAAATTGTTGATTCCCGACCGAGAATGGAGCTGCAAAAGCCTGTCATTTTTATTAGGATTAGGCTAACACCTAGCAGACACTGAAACCTGCAAAAGCCAGACACCATCTCTAACAATTATGGCATATTACATATTTTTCTACCGTGTCACCCAAAGTAAAGGTCAGAAAAAGATTGGCTATTCACAAGAAGCAATCATGAACAATCAAGTAAAAACCATGAAGCAGCACAAGCCAGACACCAGCTCTAATAAAATTATTTCTGAAATCGGCAAGCAGAATATTTCATTACATGTTTAAGTGTTCTCATGAAAAAGCCGTTGTATTTTCAATCTATCCAATACATGATAAATTTCATTCACCTATCTTCTCAAGGTAAAGATGTAGCTACTCAATTTCTTCATGTCCCCCTGATCTTTCACCAATTCCTGAAACATCATTTCCAGTATAAAAGTAAAAATAGATAATAGGAGGGGGTAGCTGACTTCAACAAAACTAAATTAAGTATAAATGAAAGCAGTAATCGTATTCAGCCTTTTCCGTAAGATTTCTTCCACGTGATCACTAATCATAAAACTTTCAACCACATGATAAAAGTTCACGTTAAATGTATAGTATTCTATCCTACTCTTGCTAATCCAAAAAGATCAAGAAAGCAGGCTGAGTTGATTTGTTTTTGCGAAGCATTCCTGGTAACCCTAGTCAGTAATTTCTCACTGACTTCTCAAATGCCATAGCAATGCATTAAGCAATAACCATGAAATTACACATATCAACAGACATACTGAAGTACATGGAACAGAGATGCAACCTCCACATTGATCATGTCAAAGATTTATCCCTTACTGAAAAATATGCTAGAAGGGGGTATCATCCATTAAGGACCTGCCTGTGACCTGCTTGTACTATTTTAACCTTAACTCAACAGATTAGGATTTTATAAATTGTGAAAGCAATCGCCGTTCATGCAAAAACCCAAAACAGTTCCACACTAACAGGTCATAGAAGATTATTTAGTTTGCAATAGCCAGAGATTGACAAGAGCTCAATATTATAATACCCAATAACTAAGGCAAAGTTCATGAGCTACAGGAAAAAAAATTCATTTCAAAATGGAAGATAGTATTAAAATCTCAAAAGAACTATTTTTTGGATACTCTAACATGGTGTCTGTGCTATTAAGTTTATCCACAGGATTATTCTTGTTCAACGTTGTTGCTAATTATATCAATTAATGGTGAGCTATGTGACTCAAGTGATAAAATAAAAGAGGTTGGAACAGTTATGTAAGAGTGGGGCAATAACTGTAGTCAGTAGGAAACTATCCTTCCTAAACTCCCTCTCATCTTAACATAATAAGAATTAAGAGCATGATCGAAAGATTCTCTATTATCATCATACTCATTAATTTAGGATCAATCCATCCTTTTTGGAGTTCAATGAATTCATATCTAAAATTTAAAATAAATAGTGGATTTGACTCTCCAAATGTAGAGAGAGCCAAAACATTTTCTATATAAACATTTAGGAATTGTAACGTGTGGTTGAAAAGTAGATAAATGTTGTGGATCCTATGAAATGTATACTTAAAATTGAACTTTGACAAGTGGAAAAAAATTTAGCAAAGTTTTATCAAACAAGAATGTAGTGTTTTCACTATCATTTAATATAAAGAGCATTCTTGGGGATGCTCTAAGACGCAGTTAAATACATAACAACTTTGTTCTGTGAGGGTACAAAAAATTTACACAGAAAGAGTCTTGTAGGACTTGGTCGTCCTCGTCATTTCACAGAGATAAGAGTATCCCGCCTATAAAACAAGAAGACTTTCCACTTGTGATTGTAATCACGATCAAGAGTGGTTTGGAGATTTCAATTGCTAGTAATTTAACTACAAAAGGATTCTCAAAATTGCTTAAATTGGGTATGCGTTTCTTAAACCAAATTCTTGGTTGTTTGGGATACAAACACTCGAATTATTATCAATCATGATTCCATAACAAGTCAAAATTAAATACTATTGTGTCATTAATCGTTTATAATCAGTTCGCGAACAACTCTTTTATTACAAGTAAAATGAATTCATTAAGAATGTGTTTGATTGGCATGGAAACCTAGAAAAGAAAATATTTTCCTTGTTTTGAGGAAAATAAAAACCTAATTCTCCAAAAGAAAATGTTTTCCTTAAAAACAAAGAAAATTGGGTATATTTTCAAAAGTTGAAAAATATTTTCAATGGAAAAAATAGCAATCAAACACTCCAAAGTAGAAATTTGGGTGGAACACTGACATTTTCTATGGAAAATAAATACAATCAAACACAACCTAAATATTTATAACATCCAAAAGAAAAATACAAGAATCAAAGAAGGTGGTGAAGATTAAAGTATTACTCGATGCAAGATCTCGTTTTAGGGCAAACAATAAACTCCTTCCATTAAGTAAATAACTTGTATTGACTTGGCACCAGATTTATTGTAATAATTGGAAAAAGGTATGAAGATTTAAGTAATACAAATCGATATCATTTCAGGGCAAAACACACTCCCACGTCCTGATATTGATCTCTATTTACTAGTCACGGGTTTCTAGGGTCAGTTCCGACATCTATTTACATTTACTAAAAAAATATAATTAACCAGTTCTCTTTCCTTCCCATCCCACCTCTCTACTGCATATAAATTATCACTTTCAACATTTTGTTGTCACCTCAGCCACCAGAATAAAATCACAAACAGCACAATGAAGGGTGTTTAACAAGCTTATCACTAAGATGTTAACAAAATGTTCAAAAACCAAAATCTTTTCACCTCCACTCCAAATCATCCACAATAGACAATGGGGAGCTAATTAATACACATACCTCTTATCAAATCCCCCAGAGTAAGTTATCCTAGTTATTCTTTAGCAAAAAAATAAAAAAATTGCCTTTAACGCAGTTGATTCATAACAACATATTGTACTTGTATAGTTGGCTGCCTCTTGCTCTCATTTGGCATCATTTAGACTATTAATTACTCTTCTTTGCTTCAAAACACTTCTCCATTCATTACTTAGATCTTCAGTGTGCTACTTGGATGATTACTTAGAAGTTAGAAGGTTGGTTCCACGGCAAGCTCCTCGCTGCCCTATGGAGTAATAAGGAAGGGGGGGCAAGACTCTCTTTCTCAACTTCATTCACTAGATTCTGTTTCTTTTTTCACTTCCATTGAGATATAATTATTTTCATCAAGGATAGTGGTATACCCTTAGACTTCGGATTGTTGGATCACTAGCAAGGCATATGTTTTACACTTCCGACCACCTACTTCTCTACTGGAGAAATACATTGTTAAATCATTGCATCATGCTCAACATAAAGCACCCAAGACATCAAAATGTATAAAGAATTCTAAACACTTGATCTCAAGTTCCATTCTGCAATCTTCAGTAAACTTTATTAGGTATACCCACATTTTAACACGGGAAGCATCAAAAGAAGCAGGGGAGGATGAAAATAACTGAAGTGCTAAACTTGAGGTGAATCATCTATACCAACATTTTATACCTCAAAGCTGGAAGCACACCCTATTTATTTTTTCTTAAAAATCATGCATGGTCACATAAGCTCAGCGTGGAATAAAAGCATCAATTTTTATCTATTTCTCCTCAATATAAAATGTAAGTTATTCTTAATAAAATTGTTATTAGTACTTACTAGATCCTCAGTTAAGTTTTTATCTAAGGTCCTGAATTACAATATTATATTGATGGTAGTTCACCTTGAAATAAAAGTTTTATTTCTTGCACCACGACACCGTGCTTTTGTTAACCATCCTTCCTAGGTACATCATCGAATCGCACAACAGACTATCAATGACACAGTCTGCCATATAACTACTTAGTCTCTATTGCAAATGAACAGTCCGTGGCACAAAGACCCTTAGATATCTATGAATTGTCACAGCTTATCCCAAATCCTATGAATGAGCAAATTAACACATTAATCAAATCAAATCATATTCCTATTTCACTTAATTTTCCTTTTGCACAAAGAGACTGATGAAGTAAATTGTTCAAAAGCTACTGATTAGAATACCAAATCATTTGAAAGCCTCAAAAACTTCGCATCAAGAAGTGCATCTATCATATATACATCCAAAAAGCATCAATCAGCATTAAATTGCCAATACAAATAATTAAAGAATAAAGGAAAAAGTTACGACATTTACCAAAAACCAAAACTAAAAAAAATACTCATATCATCACGAATTTTATTCCAAATTCAAAAATACATGGAGCGTAAGTTTCAAAATAATAAATTGCACACAATTCATTCTCGAAGCCTGAAAAAAAAAAAAAAAAATCAATAGCTCCANAAAAAAAAAAAAAAACTCAATAGCTCCACAGTATTTATGATCTCATCTAAAAAACCAGATATTTCCCTATCGAACAAAACCAGACGACAGTCCAAAGCAGTTAAAGACGAACGACATAAGAGAAACCTAACCCCGCTTTAATGAAAACGATGAAATTAATGATTCACGGGTGCTTGATTTCCATGACGCTCTTCACACTCGGAGCGTAAAGCGAGTAGAGGATGGCCTGTCGCTTGGCCACGCCAAGCTGTGACTTTCCATCGGTGAAGGCGGCGGCGGTCGCCGACGGGTCCGATAGGTGATAATTGTGGCGGAAGGAATCAATTGTGCGGCGCTTGACATACTCCCTCA